GGAAGAGGTCACAATGATGTTAAAAAAAAAAAAAAAAAGGGATCAGAAGGGGTGATCGCAAATGCAGGGCTGGAATGAAGCGAATGCGGGGGTCCTACCGGAACGCTTCCGCCGGCGCTAGCTTGCGCTCGGACCAAGCGTTTCGCGGCCGGTAATGGCGGAGTGTTGAACCGCGGGCGATATCGGCGTGATCTTCGTCGCGGTAGCTCCAAGGCGCCGTCACCTTTGCATGCATTAGGTCATAGTCTCATGGCTATGGAGGCTGCTTGGCACAACACCCGGAAGGACCAACCCCGTTGACAATACTGAGCTAAGCTTGGATACGGCTGATATTTTTTTTCTCACTTAACACTTAGGGAGTGTAGTTGTTTAACTAAGTTTTTGATGGCAGGGGAGGAAGTTGTAATGGAGTTGAGAGAAAAGATCCCGGAGGCTGCGGGAGTAGACGCAGGAAGACAAGCGAGGTCCCCTCCCCAGGGCCCTCATTTAGAAGAAGAAGACGATGCGAGGCTAAGGGAGTTATGTCGTATTTGTTACGCAGAAGGGATCATGCCTACGGGTATTGATCCTGGAGTGATGACGATTGACGGTCGCGAAGCTCGTTTTAAAGTCAACTCAACAATTGATCAAGTCAAGATCAATGGGCTAAAGGAGCACACGGTCACCGTTATTTTCCGAGCTGGTGCACGATTTCTTCCGAGGAACATCAAGGACGATAGCGTTAGGGCTTATGAGGATAGACGGTCAGCGGATGGAACTTTCGAACAACAGAATTTTAGCATGGATAGAGTCAAAGTTGAGTCACCGAACGTTGTCTCATACGTTGCGAAATCCAAGGAGGTTGCACGATGGCTGGTGGAGAAGGGTGAGGACGAAGTAACGGTAGGCTCCTTGCGTTATGTCTTTGAATTCAAACCATGGCTGACGAAAGCTCAACTTCGTCAGCAGCGTCTGTTAGAGAACGAACAGACCTTCTGGGTAATTGCAGTGCAGGTGCCTCTCGATGCTTTTATCTTCCTTCAAGCTCAAGTGGAGCGTGCCGTTGGACCGGTAATCCGAACCTTTCCTCCGGAACAAGACAGAATGTTCCCGTCGTTAGTCAATATCAAATTCGAGATTGAACCGGCTGCTCGTGGCAACATGAAGGATAAAATATGGATTGATACTTCGAAAGGAAACTCACTGGAAGCCAAAATTGCTTCTGCAGATACTCCTCGATGTCGCCGTTGTCGGGCTTTCTTCCATACGGATGTGGAGTGTCGTCGAAATCAGCAGCCTCAGGGACAGCCATCTGCCCCGAGCGGCCCGCATGCAAGCTCTCCAGCAGGAAGTCGGCAAAATCAGGGTCCATTGAGACCTAGACCTGCTTCACCAAGTGTTCAGTCTCCGCAAGGGCCTGGACCGGTGAGAACAGAAGCAGCAGCAATTTCAACATCTCTGCCGGCAACTTCAGGAACAGATATGCGAGCTAATCCCGTCTACTCACCAGGAGTGCATGCGGCTCCTCCTTATTTCTCACAGCATCCAATCTTACCGCAATCGGAGTTTCCATGGATGCATGGTCCTGGTGAGACTTGGCTATACTCGCAATTTTCGTACGGCGGAGCTCATCAGTATGGGATGCCCTTCCCTTCAGTTTTAGGCTCGTATGTACAGCAGTCTGCTCCGATGGGCTCTTCATTTCCAATCTATTCTTCGGTGGTGCCGACCATTCGGCCACTGTCGTTGCCTCAACCATCTGCGCCAGGTCATGTCTATGCTTTGGACTTGAATCGAGGAGTCGGCAATCACCCTCAAGGGGGAACTGCTGTGAGCGGTGTCAGTATTCATCCGAGTCCATCTAAGGCTCGGAGTGGAACTCCAGGCAAACAACGGAGGATTGACCAGGAAGGCAGCTTCGTCTCAGGGCGTGCGGATTTGGAAGGTGAGAACTCGGTTGGTTCGTCACAAGATTTAGATGCGAACCGGTCCACCATTGGTGTGACAGGTAGTAAGACATCACGAAGGCGCATCCCGATCTCTCTGTCTAGAGGGCAACTACAGGACATCGAGAATAGGATTCTACCCTTTTTTTGTGTGGCGGTCCATAACTCATTTTGGGTGATTGCCTTCGTTGGAATGGATGGCTCCCCAACTATGGTAAGTCTATCCTCTCCTGATACACTCATGTTGTCCGCAGTTGCTATCCTCGTCCGTACGGCGATTCATGAGAAATTCTCCTTTCGTCTTATTCCTGATGTGATTATGGTGCGTATCATGGTGGACAATCCAAATGAAAGGGGGAAGAAGATTAAATATTTTGTTTCTTTGATCGACGTACGATTTTGCGATGGGGAATTGAAAAAACTGGAAAAGGAAGGTCTGCGTTTATTGCCGATCTCTTGGTTTTCTGAGAAGAAGAGACAGGAATTAAGTAGAATCCGCATTCCTCCGTTGCGATCTGCCGAGTGTCTAGTTGATCTAGACATCCGCCTTCCAAAGGAAAAGAAATTGGGGTCCTCGTTCTTTCGTCTCCCTGGCCTACAGATCCCCCCCATATCCAATATGGTGGAGGGGAATCCAACATAAATGAACAGAATTAAGCTGGTTAGTTGGAATCTGAGGGGGATTTGTGACTCGTCATTAAACTCCAAAAGAGCACGGGTCAAATCTTGGATTCATTCGAAAGGATTTCAAATCGTCTGCGTGCAAGAAACGAAACTTTGTGAGGAGAAGATTAACAGTTTGGGTACTTGGTGGGACGGGCCTCAGATTTGGTCCCCGACCGTTGGTTCCAAAGGTGGGGTAGGGATCCTTATTCACCACAATTTGAATGCGGAGATTGTGGATTACTATGCTGACCTTTGGGGCAGATGGGCATGGATTAAGCTTTGGCTAAATAATGAATATTGGATAATAGCTTCTATCTATGCCCCGACTGACCCACGAAGTAGAGTAATCTTCTTTAGTGAACTACTATGTATTATTCCGGACGGCGATCATACGATCCTAGCTGGCGACTAGAATACATCCTTGGATGTTCCCACTTCCTTAGGAAGGATCGAATGCCCGTCTGACAAATTAAACCTCACTAATATTATGAATTCTCTGCAGCTGATTGATCCCTTTCGCCTTGTTCGTCCTGATGAGGAAGGCTTCACCTGGTTTTCAAACCCCAGAGAGAACTTGGGCGTTGTAAGTAGGAGGTTAGATTTCTTTCTGACCTCAAAAAACCTTTGGGAGTCCATTATTGACATATATGAATCTTCATCTCCCATCTCAAATCTCAAACCGGTTGTTATGACACTCACTGTTTCTCAGCTGGCAAGAGGTCCGAGCCTATTTCGTCTGAACACAAAAAAATTGGAAGACGAAGGGCTGGTAGCTTGGATGCGCAGTTTTTGGCTCAGTTGGAAGGACGCCAGATCCTATTACTGTTCAACCGAGGAATGGTGGAAAGCTGGAACCAGGATCTTTTTGAATCTCTTGTCTGTCTTTTCGCGTATTTTAGCCTTTCAACGGAATAATCAGGAAGCTACTCTCCAGAAAAGAATTGAATATGTTGAAAAAATGATGGCTCAACACCCTGTGTCGAACTTAGTTTGGGGGAGAATTCGAGTTAAATTGATGACTGGATGGGATAATATTCAGAAAAGCAAGTATGAAATGTGGGCTGAAAAACTCCAGGTCAAAGGAATAACTGTTTACGATCGTATGACAAAGGAGTCCTTTCAGAAACTTCTCCCCAGTCATTCAGCAGTTCCTATGCGAGAATTAAGTCATCCGTTTGATCCCAATGCGCGAAAGGCAATAGAACCAGTTGAGTTATGCAACTACGCCTCTCCCTATTACCACGACATTCTCACCTCAAGACTCCAAGGGGCAACTGTAGTCGACGATCTGCATAAGGAATCCTTATATTGGCAGCATACGAGGACAAAGATCTCAGTAGTACGCCGGTTGGATTTAGACAGACCTATTACTACGCCTGAAGCTCTAGAAGCACTGAAATCGATGACCAAAGGTAAAGCTCCTGGAGACGATGGCCTCCCTGTGGAACTTTATCTCATACTGTGGGATTCACTTGCAGATAGTCTGATAGAAATCTATAATAATATCTTTATTGGGGGTAAGATGTTTGAGAGCATGTGTAGAGGCATTATTTATGTGTTTTTTAAGAAAGGCGAGAGATCCGAAATGAAAAATTGGCGTCCTATTTCCATTATGAATGTGTTCTATAAGCTACTTGCGAAGATCCTGGCTCGAAGATTGGGAAAATACCTACCGGCCTTGGTTAACTCCGACCAAGCAGCTTTTATTCAAGGCAGATCGATCTTCACTAATATTGTTATAGCCATTGAGACACTGAAGATTATTAACAATGAGGACCTTGACGCTGCTGTCCTGCTCTAAGACTTGGAGAAAGCGTACGACCGGGTCAACTGGTCATACGTACTAACAATGCTTAATGTAATGGGATTTGGCCCTAATTTTAGTAAATGGGTGGCAGTCATGTATACTGCATCTACTGCAGCGGTCATGATTAATGGAAGACTTTCCAAAGAATTCTCCCTGTCCCGTTCTTTGCGACAGGGTTGTCCTTTAGCCCCTTTACTCTTCGCCATTCAAATGGAAGTTCTGTTGAACAATATGAGATCAAATCCAGATATTACAAGCTTCTCAGTGGGTCATTCTCAGTACAAAGTCAAGGCATTAGCGGGCGATCTCTTCGCTGTGGCAAGTAATTCAGATAATTCGCTGCCTGCTCTTAAGGCTTGCCTGGATGAGTATTCGATCATGTCTGAAGCCTCAGTTAATTGGCACAAATCGGTTTTCTTCCTACCACAGGGGTTCCAACTGTCGGTCCAATGGGGTATGAAAAGAATGGATGCTGACAAATCAGAAAAAAAATTGGGTGTACAAATCTCACTACTTGCCTGTGAAGCCGAACAGGACGACCTCTTGCTTCAAAAATCACTACACAGGCTGGTTACGTGGGGTAAAGCTCCTCATTTATCTCTCTTTGGTAGAGGTATGGTCATTAATGGGGCGCTTTTTGCCTTACTCTGGTTCGTAGGAACGGTCCGCAGATTTGGCAAACAATTGTATAATGTGGTGAAACGTAGAGCTGCTAAGTTTATATGGAAACCATACGGGAAAGAAAAAGATTCCTTCCTTTCCAAAGTTGCTTGGGAAATCCTGTGCCTCCCGCGGGAACAAGGGGGCTTAGGCATTCTCGATCCAAAGAAACAAAATGACGCTATGTTAGTAAAATGGATTTTAAAAGCAGCTCTGGAAACACCAGAATCCCACTTGTTTTTTTTGGCAGAATACATACTTTCCAAATAATGGAACCTCTCAAGACAAACTAATATTTAGCCTTGTCTGCTCTTGTACTCATTCCAGAGGAGATATATTAAGTCACCTTTTTGAAAGGCCGTTATTCAAGCCTGAAAATCTCTGAGTCCGGATGTTTGGGTACAACCGACAACAAAAGCAGAGGCTAGAGCTCAAATTTTATTTGAAAATCTAAACATTCGAACCACAGATGGAGAATGGATTAGTGCGGACTCTAGATCGGATAACTTTGGGCGAAGCTGGATCGAGAAAGGAATTCTTAGAATTGATATATGGGATGATATACAGGGTGGATGGATTAGCGTGGAAAAATTGCGAGCAATAGTGGGACAAGTCAGAGATCTCGAAGGTAAAAGAAATAAAATTATTGACACTATCCCTGACTGCTGAAAGAGCTTGTTACTGTCGGAGAAACCTGACCCCCCTGGAACTTGGTATGTGGGGAATCAACTAGAACCTGCAAATGGGTTGTGGAAACTGACGCTGATTCAGGCCGATGGTAAATGTATATTTCAGAAATGGGATGTGACAGACACAGAACTGACTTTGTGCCCCTCACAAGTCCAACCTGCTATTGGTACGCCCTTTACCCAGGTTCAGGTTATTGAGCATCCAACTCAGAATGGACCAACTACATGCTCACTATTTTTTAACGGTAGTTCAATCCTAGAGCTAAAATTGAATCCCAAATAGTGGGAATGGAGAGCAGCAGGACCGAAGGGTCAGAATTTATGTTTACTAGAATACAGCCAAAGGGTGGGTTATGACCTACAAATTCCTTATAGAAATCCGCTTATGGTTGCAGTCAACAGGTGGCAGACAGTTCTGACGATTGACTCAGACCAAATATCTTCGTCCATTAAGCAGTGTTGGCAGCAATTGAAACTGATTCCAAGCCAAAGGATGGCAGCAATACTCTGGTTATTGTCCATGATGGCTACCCCATCTGCGGTGTGGCTTCTCCAACATGGTATGAATGTTGACCTAACCTGCCAAAAATGCAAATGGGCTTTTGAATCCATGGTACATCTATGGTGGGATTGCCCTGCATCAGCAAGGGTATGAGCTTGGTGGAAAAAGAAATGGGATTCTTGGACTGATGGCTCCTTGGACTGGGACAAGAACTGGATCCTGTTGGGTGGAATTCCAGATCGTTTGGTCTCAGATAAGGGTTGGGGCTATGTGGCACAGGTCACTAGGGCCGTTATCTATGTTATAATTTGGAGTGCCAGAAATGATCAACTCTTCAAGGAAAACGAGTGGACGAATCAACAGATTCGAGCAACAATCCACCAGGGTATTCGTCAGACTATTTCAACTGATTGGAGGAGGAAAGTGTTAAAGGCCGAGAATAAGGTAAGTGGAATGCGTTGGTTTAAGGACACTTGGGGTGTTAGGAATGTTTTCGCCTCGATTGATGGTGAGGATAGAATAGTGTTAAGTGAATGGTTATTTAAGAGATAGATTAGCTGTATCAACCTGGCTGGCTCGGTTGCTGGTATGTAGTCGCAGTGGACTGGCAGATTGGTGTTCTTTGAGGAGGGAGCTGGTGGAAACTAGGGGTTCCTGTATGTGAACCTCCTTAATGCCGATTTAGACATTGGTTTTCTTTTTTCTTTTTTCTTTTTTCTCTTCCCTTTTCCTTGATAGATAGAGTCTGAGGTTTTGTGAGGTCTTGAAGGTCATTTTTTTTGGTTTGTTGGGCTTTTAATGGGCCTTGACGGCAGTGTTTTTTTATTTTTTCCCTTTTTTTTTAGGGTCGTGGATAAGTCGAGACAGCGGTCTGTGTTGGGCCATTTCTGTTCTCAGACAAAAAATCCCGATACTTCACTCTGAACTGGGCATGTGCCCCCTACAATGGTTGCTTTTCCCGGTTGATTTGTTCTGAGGGATTCCCGGCCTCAATTGTGGTTCTTAAATTTGATAATGATGAAGCCCGCAGGGCCCTTTTTTTTGAAAAAAAAATAAATAAATAAAATGTAGGGCTTCCTCGCACCTCTCGCCAAATGCCAACATTCTGAATGAATCAGGATCAATCACGTCTTCACATTCACTCAGAAACGTAAAATGCCAACATTCTGAATGTATCAGGACCAATTACGTCTTCAGATTCACTCAGAACGTTGGCAATTGGCGACTGGTGCGGCTAGGCGCATGTAATTAATTTGCAATTGAGAACATTGGTAACATGAGAATTGGGACCTCGCTCCACTACACAACAATCTCCTACATGCATTTGGTCGCTTTCTGGACCAGATGCATTCGAGCAAGTCCAACATTCTGGATGCATCGGGTCCACAAGGCGTCCAAATGTCATATATGAGTTTTTTTGTAGTGGAGCGAGGCCCTTGAACAAACAGCTAAACAGTATGGCCCTCTCGCTCCACTACTCAACACATGCCCAAGAGACGAAAAATATGGCGGTGTATTTTCCCATGTTCTAGCGGAGGATTCATTCATTCTAATTTTGCACATTTGGTGAGAAATGGATCAACGCCCAATGTCGTTTGTGAAAGTGCAAGGAGCTGTGCCATGGAACACGAACTGTGATTGAGACCTCGCCCGTGAGGGAACAGCCCAGGCGCTGTGCTGGTTGTCGCAAAATAGCGCAACTCTCCGCAGCTGTCCCGGTGCCCACGGTTCGTTTTCGTCAACTCCGAGGTAGGGCATCGCGTCCCTTGACCATCTAGCTTGCTATGGTGGTAGTGGTTTAGGAAGCCCCCCCTCTTCCCGAGGGGGAACGACCCCTTTTGGGATCGGGCTATCCTCCCCAGAGCGACTTGGTTGTCGTTCCCCTCCTGCCGCACGCATCCTCACGAGGAAGGTCGAAGTGATCTCAAGGATACAAGTGAAAGAGAGAAGACTGCAGCGATTGATAGAAGTCACCCCCATGCCGGGGACTACGGGATTACAAGACGAGCTGGTCCATTGGATGGTATAATTTTACTTACCTTCATACTTACCCTCAATAACTCGTTTGGCGTTGAATAGGTGTATTTATTTCAAATTTGAGGCCTCTGATTGAACGGATTTTAGTGGTTTTTTAACGTACGGACGAAAGAATTAGGTCAATGGAAGAGACAACAACTCCAGGGCGAACCTACACTCAAGAGGAAAAAGAACAAATTGGTAAATTATTGGATGATTGCTTCAAGGATGGAATCTTTTCAGGGGGACTCGATATAGGGATAGCCCAACTAAACGACGATATTGCTCGTTTTGATTTGAATGAACAGTTCTCGGAAATAAACAGTCGGTGGCTAAGAGACCATGCAGTCACTATTATTTTTATTAACGATGCCACAACTCTGTCCAATTCCTTGAAAAAGAAATTGGTCAGAGTTTATGAAAATGCATGGTATGACTCAGGGATTGTGGAGGAGTCGGTCACGAGAGGAAGATATCAGAGTCGTCAGAGAAGACTATCATTCAATGGATGTTGAACAAAAAGGAGGATAAGATCCGCTGTGAAGAGAAAGAGTATGAAATTCGTTTCCTGTCGTGGATGACCCTGACAGAAATTAAAATATTTAAGGATAATGGTTAGAAGGTATGCTGGGTACGCTGCCCAAGAGTTGCTTTGCAGTTGATGTCAGCCCTCAGAGTCGCTATTGAACACACCTTTGGGGAAGTTCAAAAAGCTCACCCAACGGAACAGGACGATGAAGAACCAAAACTAGGCAGCGTCCATTTTGACCTGGACCCCATTGCACAACAAAGAATTAGACCCAGACTAGCGGTGGGAATTCTGAATCAGGGGGTTTACTATTTCGAAGTACTCTCTGCCAATACCCCTTGGTGCAACACATGTCAAATATTCTACCACAACGAAACGGATGACACTTGCCCAACAAAGGAGTATGACCCCTTTGCTAACTCTGGTCCACGTCCACCACCCCCGGATTCTCCCTTTTCCGGGTTTGTACCGATGGGGGAAAAAACGCCAGCCAATGGCTTTCGGCGGATGCCGAGGGGATCCGGGAGAGATTTGTCTCAGACGGAAGGCTCTGAAGGACGAAAAAACAACAGAAGAGGAAAGAAGGGAGATCGTACCAGATTTAACAAGGGAAACAGAACCCAGGGGACAGAGGGTAATGGGAATGGTCCGAAAGACAGCGGGAAAGGGGGATGGAAAGAAAGAGAGAAGGAAAGAGAGAAAATCAAGGAAATAGAAAAAGTCAAAGGGAGAGAAAAAAGGAAAGCGGATCTAAAGGAAAAAGAACATGCAAAGGAGAAAGAACCCTCATCTGCGATTCTCGAAACTTCTACGATAACGACCTTCGGGACGGGACCGATGGAAAAGGACAAATTGGAGAGTGGGGGGGATGACCCCCGGAGAGAGGGCCTTGGGTTGGCAGGCAGCGGAGGGGAGATCCGCAGGAAAGGCTCTCTTCCAAGTGGACTGATGTTGGCAGATCCGGTAGAGCCGCTGGATCGTGCAGACTTGAATATTCAAAAAGTGTTGATTCCCCTGATCTGTGCCAACTTTTTCAAGGGTGTAATGGTAATGGCCACACAACTGGCGAATGCGTTACTTGAACTCCCTACTGCAGATGCAGAAGGTTCGTTAACCGAACAGGCAATCCTGGAAAAGGTGAAACCACTGATTCCTAATTGTCTGCAGGTAAGGGTAATTCTGAATGCTCACGTAGGTTGCGTCACAGCAGAAGATGCAAACGGAGTTAGGGCAAGGTTATACTTCATTTTTTTGGATGCCAAGATAGACAACACAACGATGAAACAATTGGCGATCATGGATAAGGACTGGTTCCCTCTATCCATCCTTGATTCCCCAACAAATTAAAGTTTGAACATGATTAGATTCAAACAGACTAATGACAGCCGTGACAATTGCTCAATGGTTGTCAACCTCAGCCCACAAGGCCCTGATTTTCCGGCCAGATTTATCAGATGTATTAAGAGTTCCCT